TTACTAATATACAGTATTAATATGCCTGTCTTTCATCGCAATGATCTTTACTTCTAATAATATATTTTCAAATAGAATTATGATATATTTTAATAAAATAGTATTATTAAGTACAATAACAAAAAATTACATTTTACGAATAGAATAATATTCATGCTCTTAATTTCTTTTAGGCTGATCATACATGGACCCGTTCACTGTAATGTTTTCCCGAACTCCCGATAGTTGCTGACTCGTACGGGAAGCCCAGAGTGATATTTTGGTGGAAAAGATACCCCGATTCCGGAAATCTTTTTGAGATGATAATGCTCGGTAGAGAGATTAAACTTCTTGTGAAGTCTTCTCAGTGACTCAGGGTTTTGAACTGCAGCATGACCTGCTTAACATGTACTATGTAATGTTCTTTCCCCCTTTTAAATCATTAAACTTGTTTTCATCGTTGTCGCTATTTTTGTCTTATAAAGATTTGTCAAACTAGTTCATGGCTAATGTTTAATGAAGTAGCTCGGATCCTAGAGGTTGTATGTATGGCTCAAAAATTACTCCAGTTTCAGGGAAAGTAATCCTATTTTGTAGCTCTTTATGTTAGTAGCTTATTGAGCCATCGATGTAAATTGAACCATCGATGTAAATTGAACAAGACATTTTTTGGAGTTAAAATAAGAGCCTAAGTAGGCCTGTAGTCCCCCCCCCCCCCCCGACGATATTGTAAGCTGGCAAACTTGGTCTACTTAGTTAATAATATAGATTGATAGTCCTTGCATAAAGCTAGTCCATGATGTATAGCGACCTGAAGTTTAGTTTCCTTGTTGTAGAATAGCTACGAATACAGACATACTAAAGCTCTTCGTCTTGCGCTTATCAAAGTAAACGCAAAACTGAACAACAACAAAATCTTAATTTCTGTCTTTATGTTCCATGTTAACAGATTTTTAACATGTATATTAAAGCCCCACTGTCCTACTTGTAGCTACTTGCTCCCTCTATATAGAAAACTTCCCCAATCGGTGCCTGTTGGTCCCCCATGATCCTATTTGTCTTATGTTAGTTGAGAGCTGAGTTAATGAGATAGCCACCTATCAATGACCTCGCTGTGTGGTCTAATCCCCTCTGGCCAAGTAGTATTGACGGTCTTTAAAGGAAACTTCTTTTGTCCCCATTTTCTCTCATTCTGCTCTTAATCTACTCCTGAGCATGGTCACATTAATTTATTATTACTTTTACCTTTACTATTACTTTATGACTGGCAGGGTACCAGTAGTATATCCAGGCGCTGCAGGTATGCTCCAACATAATTTACTGGTAGAAGTGTGTCCATATTTAGATTTAAAAAAATAAATGATTATGGAAAACAGACTTCTTGTCCATACTTCAAATCAAAAACATGTGGATCTCAAAGTCGTTTCATGAATGAAAAAAAAGTAAATCAAGGTGATTATAAAATCAACAGGGAAAGAAAACGTGAGACAGAACATTGGAGAAAGGAATGGAAAGCGATGAAGCGTATGTAGCACGGTCTTTGGATATTTATTTCAAACAATTTCCTTTAGGGTTTAATGACCTTTTTCTCTTAATATAAAGTCCATGAGAGAAGTCAGAATAAGAATAAATCCCTGAAAATGCAAGGAAATATCCGGAAGGCAAGCCGTAACCTTCTGTAAAAGATAGTTTATAGACTTGCTGACTCGAAGCTTTCCTTCTGTCATGCACAGATATGGAAAGAATAATGTGAAAGTTCCGAAGAAGAAGAAAAAGAGAAGAAGAAAAACACAATTCCCAAAGGAGACAAAATAAAAACACTACCATTCTTGCGTATCTCTACAATTCAGTTGAGTATAACTTACAGTACTTTGATCTCCTTTTTTTCTTTTTTTTTTTACTCATTTATTTAAGTGGAGAAAAGCTTATTTTCAAACTATTTTCTCGGGCTGAAGTGGTGGAGGCGACGTGGACAGCTAATTGCCATCTATTAATGTGTTTTTAAAGCATTTATTTGCATCTATACAGTAACTACTCAAATTTGACATATCCCTTCCTGTTTATTCAGATTTTCGTTCTTTTAAAAAATGTTATTTCTTCCCTGGAGGTATAGGCGATAATTGGCCACTTGTGCATGAGCGATTATACTTCTCTTGCTCTTCAGCTGTCGTCCAAACTGCGTTCATAACTTGAAAGTTAGTCGTGATGTTAACACCTTTTATAATGTCCACCTTGTTCCTTAGGTGTGCAGTCCGCGTTTTTCGGCCTGTGAAGACCTGTGATAAGTTTTAAATTTGTACCCAAGACTATGCAATAGGAACACACCTATATAGAGGTGCAAACGAATCACAGCAATATCCCATCGTGTGAACACGACAACGTCTTTTGAAGGGAAGGTGCCCCTTTATCATTTTTTGTTTGGGGGGAGTCTCATTAAAACATAACTAAACATAATCCTCTCACTCTGTCAGATGCTCCTCTCGTAGCCTTCGATGCATCTTGATAAATGAAAAGGACTCGCAGTGAAGGCACTTTTTTGGCCGTCGTAAAACGTAACCCCAATACAATTATAATGATTTAAGTGTGAGTCGACAAGGATTTTCATCTCAGTCAGACTATTGTCAGAGATGATTCACCTCTACGCCAGTGCAACCTCACAAAATGCGAACTTTCCTTTTGAATTATAAGGACCTTAATCTATTCGTCCTCGTATTCAAAAGGCTAAATCGCGCTTCATTATTGTATTTGACTCAAACAAAATGCACGTAGCTTGATAATGCCCATTTTAGCCCACCCATATCACCCTTTGATAATGTTTTAAAGAAATATCCCTTCATTTTTGTATTTATTCATGTATTACTTTATTTCTTTATTTATTCCGAAAAAAAAATTTCATTTATCTTTCATCCATTAATTTATCTATTACTTATTTTTTGTATTCGTTATTCATCATTTATGAGTTTATAATTTATTCATCTTCTCATTCATTCATTTATTAATTTTCTCTCTTTCTTTATTGTTATAGCATGTCGTGGGGTTATGGGTGAGCCCCCCCCCCCCCCCCCGTTTTCAAAAGAATGTTCATAACTTTGAAATAGATGTTGTTGCTTTTTTATAAATGAAACCTTCAATTGAAATCGATAGCTCACAATTCATGTCTTCTTCTTTTTTCCAAAACAGTTTAGAACTTTACGGCTCATGTTAATTTCTTTGTCACTGAACTATGACTTGTATAATAAAGCATTCTCTCTCCTAACAAACAGACCACCCGACTAGAGATCATTTGCTAAAAAGCACTTTACAAGTTGAGGCCAGTGAGAAAGGAAGAGAGAGAGACGGGGATGAGGGGCAGAGGTACACAGATGCACATAAAACAGACAGGTAGACATAGATATACAGACAGAGACAGACAGACAGACAGACGTCAATACATAAATTTAAAAAAAAGCTATATACAGAGGTAGAGATTTAGAGGAATTGTGGTGCTTGAATCACATATAATTACCATCTTTGAAAGGGAACAAAATATTTCGGTTTTTAGCGAGGTTTTATACCGAATATCGTAGATCTACCAATTTTATTGTTAGCCCTGTTTTATATCATTCACGAATTTGCCGGGAGCTATGCTTTGCCACATTTTATTGTATTCTTTGTCAATAAGGGTATTTTGACGACTGTTATCTCTTTCCAAATGATGTCATAGTGTACATGAAACTGTTGTGTGCATAGACGCAACATTAGAAGAAAGACCTTGCTTTCACACTCATTTCTATGCATACCCAATGACTCGTGAAATGTTTGGTGACAAGGGGAGATTTTTGACATGGACGTGACATTATTTTGATAGTTTCCCGCCATTAGCATTAGACACAGCGAAATCCCGAGCGCAGTACAGGAGAGTGTGTCCATGCAAAATTGAAATGTCCGTATACTTCGTTAAACTGTCCTTAAACCGGCGTCGGGTATAATTTTTGTCTTTAATCATCACTGTAAAAAGAAATTCTTTGGGCTTGTAATGTCTCGATCAAAATAGTTTATACGACTTTAAAAAAAAAGATTTATAGTAGCCTACCCAAGAAGGTCAAGATTGTTAGTCTGTAGCGCAAACACGTAACATGCATTTTAATCGTGTTTAGCCTATGTAATAAAGGCTAAAGTTATGTCCTGCAAGATTCCTTATTCAATCAGGTTTGGAAACCTGTCTTGTCCATACGGACCTTATTCCTGGTTCATTTAGGTTCTAAAACGCGTATGGATGCCCTCTATACAGACAGTTCTCTCTGAGTCTGATCATAGCCATTCAATTAACTTGTTGTTGTGTCTGTATCTGTCATTATTGAATGCCTGATCCCCGTATACACGTCTTTCCAATCAGTCGTATCATGGACTGTCCATGAATTGTACAGCTAATCAAAGTGATTAGTTTGAAGCTCCCCATAAACGTACCCACAACACACAGTGTAGATTTAAAGGCCTGCTCCGTCGATGATAAAATTAATTATATATTTCATAAATGACGTAAGTGTGATAGTGCATGCCGTCGGTATAGAACGTTGGCTTATCATCATATATTCCCTCGGAAAGGACGTAGGTATATGAAGTAGGCCCTAAATCTGTTAAAATTTCACTGGGAGAGGCACTACTCATGCAAAAGAATGAACAACAATGGCATGCGTGGACCCTTGTGGCAAATTAGCCTTGTGCTAGACAAGTTATCCAATTAGCTACATGAATGTCGATAAAAAGCCCAACAAAACAAAGATACAAACAAACAAGGGGATTGGCTGTATGTGCGCTAGTGCCCCCCCCCCCCCCCCCCCCCCATCCCTCCGGCAGCACTAGTATGGTTTCAGGTCTACGTTTTGCTTGTCTAGAAAACATACGATTGCTTTCATATAATTATGTAGCACTCAATTGTAAAGTAAACATTTTATCAAAATATCATCCAATAGCTGCAGTTAAACAGTGGTGATGCTCAAACGTACAGAAGAGGTGCGCACGATCGAACGCACTCACGAGACGACACAAGAAGCCTGTTCGCAGAGGTCGTGCATCTCGAAGCAATCACGAAATAGTGCACGGTTTGGCTTCCGCAGAACCGGTCAACTCAGTTCGACGCTAGCTGGCAGAGGCACCGGCTAAATTATCAACCAAGTTTGGTTTTTCCCTATGTCATTCTGGTCGGGTCTTTGCCAGGCCATGCTGCACCTCCATCAAGCCATCGTGATGCATTGATGCAACGAAACTCTGTCTTGAAATAACTTTTCTGGATGTGAATTGCAATATCTCGTTGGCGGATCATGGCTATATTTCGGAGCTTTTCTTGTACTTGGATTGCAATAGGAATGTGCTGTTACTATTTTACTGTGTGATTAGTCAGTCGAATTGGAGTGTTACCATTTGATTTTTCTCCTGTTCAGCTGATCCACTCACGTCACTTACTGTTTTATTTTCAAATTTGGATTTTATTCATTTTGTGTCATTCACACCTTTGGAGTAATATTCTTCGTTTAAAAGGTAAGTTAATTAATCTAGTTGTTAGAAAGACACAAAGTTCTTTATTATAATGTATTCATTTTTTAAAAAAAATTTCTTCATAGAGTTAGGTCTTTTTACGTTAGGACGAGATTGGAATTTCTGGTTGTCCGGTCGACCTAACCTAACATTGATCTAATGTTTGTTTGTTTGTTTGTTTATTTGTTTGAATAACACGAATGTGTAGTTGTACAAAAACAACAACGTCCTGCTTTTTAAATAATTGTACCCAACAATTAGTTTTGAGGAGATACTAAACTGTATGTATTACAAGTTTTCAGGGTTACACCAAATGGACCTTTCATTTTCAAAAGAAATAAGAGTCCTTAAAAGAACTGATAAGCTCTTTTTCCTTTGCAAAACTTTGCCTACAATTTAACTGTTAGTTCGTTCTGAATAAGGTTTTACCGTATTTTAATTTGAAAATTCTCGCTTTTCAAACGAACAAGAAAACGTCTAGACCAACTATTTTCACAAAAGTTCTCATAAAGTTTTCGACTGACATGACAGCACTCTATACGCTCTCGTGTACCTTTTTTGTTCATTGACGGAAGGATGGTGTTATCTATTTATGATACATGATTATCGTTTGCTGGGATGCAACGGGGTCACTGTGTGCAGTCAGTCCTTTTAGTTTTAGGTATTCGTGTTTTTCTGGTATAATAAGAAGATAATTTATGCACTAGCAGTTGAAATAAAGTCTTGACCCGCAGTAATAAATCAAAAAGGGCCTCGTTGTTTTGTTTATGGATGGATCTTCATAAAAACCCAAGGACGTTTTAACGGTGTTCATGATTTCGAATAAAAAGGACATAAACTCGGTTGCAATATTCGTCACCTCGTCTGACAGCCAGTACCATAAATAAACCGTAGAGGTGTAGAGGCTTTTGTGTATTATGGCAACCCGAGCACGGTCTGGTCTTTCTCTGTTAATACCTGTTCAATTTCAAGGGTGAGGCCCTTAAAACGAAGGCCCTTTTAAGAACGAAGGCTCTTTTAGTTTTTCTTCTCACCTTGATATTGTTATTTTCTTTTGATGAAGTCGGGAAAAGCCCACTTAAAATGATTGATCGCTTTGAATGCAATATTGCCCCGTAATGTCTCATCAAAAAAATATTCCCAGGTTTGTAGAACCAGTGTTTATCATTAAAGGCATTCCGGATTTTAGCTGAGCTAGCTTAGGTGCCTGTATATATTAAAGAGTCTTGAGCTACATAATTTGAAATTTGGCACATTAATGGGGGCACCCCCACCCAACAAACATGCTCCCTTTATCATATCAGCCTAATATTTTTGTGTGCCCTCCCTCCTTTTCTTTATTCCAGTTTTACAAAATCCGTAGTCCGGCTGCATATTATTTACAATTGGGTTAAATTACAAAATTATCGCGAATGATTTTTATATTCATATATATATATATATATATATTTGTATGTATTATTCTTTCTTTTTTGTATTGATTATGATTATTTTTGTGGAGGCGGGTCTGCGGTGTGAGTGGGGGCGTTAGCCCTCCCCTCCCCCATACACACACAGACGTATAGACCTGATGATTTAAAACAAAACGAAAGTCGGGTCCCCAGGAATTCAGGTATAGGCTCGATGTATCTGATGGAGGCCAAATGATACGTCATGCGGAGTGCATTATAAGAGTCACAAGGCTGTATACCTTTCCGTTTACGTTCCATTGGGTTAGCCGCCAGGTGTATGTTTATGGGAATAATCATGATTTCATTAGGAAATACAATCATGATATCGGGAAATCAAATCCCTAGGAATCATATTATTCATAGGCCTAAATGGATCATATACATAATGGAGGTAAGTGTTTATAAGATCTGTCTGCACAGCCTTCTGTTAAGGTTCGATTGGGTTAACCGGCGGGTATATATTTGAGAAAGGTACTGAATAATTATCATTAGGGAACGCATTCTTATTACCGTCTACAGATTAGATGTGTTATGTTCGTTGTGGTCTCTTTTATATTGTTGTAAACAGACACACTAAGTTAAAGCTACTTATATACAGTGCGTCCCAGCAAAACGAAACCGAGAATTATCGATATTTTATCATAACTTAATCACAATTATAATTAATAAATGACACCTATTTGTAAAGCTTACATCTACCTCTTTAATTTTATACCACTCATATGATGCATATTTCACGCATGAGTGATTACAATTAATTTGAAGAAAGGGTACCAAAAAGTCATTTGGCAGACGGTATCTGAATTTCAAAGAGGAAATCACATTTTTAGAAAGTTCGTTTTTTGCCCTTTCATATGACACCTCATTCAGGAAAAAGGAGCTAGAAATAAAAAAAAAATTATGTTTATTTAAAGTAATGCTTGCACTTCCAAAATTGTTTTAAACGAATTCTTTTTCACTGGCTGCCTGCCGTAGCAACAAACAGAATTGACAAAAGACTTAACTCCGTTTCGTTGACGATCAGCCATAGACTAAAGACTCACTATACATGCATGACATACTAACCGATCGAACTACTGCTATCATTTGCTGTGACAACGTTCTTTTTTGCAACATATATTTTTAAAAGCTATCTTCTCAATCCTGAAATTCCTAGCCATGAAAGTTACCCCTAGTCCTCCCGGAAAAGTACAAAACATAAAGAGAACGATCTGATGTCCTTTAATTTTTCGTAGGAGTTGAATTTAGCGAATTATGTCATTTATGCAAGCAGAGAGTCAGTGTTTTGACGGACAGGAAGTTAATTCTTTAACTGATACCAACGGGGGAATTTTGGCATGCGTGTGCTTTCAATTTTAATATTTGATCAAATTAATATATTTGTAATGTACTTCAAAACGGATTAGCACTTAGCGTTTGCAATGAAGGCGTTCCTTTGACAAGCATAACAGGGAGACTGTTTGTTGAAGCACCGTGGTGAACCGCAAAAGAAGTACAGCGCCGCAGTAGGATAAACCTCCGACTGATCTTTGACCATTTTTTGTGGTTTTTAACTATTTTTTGACATTTTTCATGTCATTGTGACCAGGCCGTGTGAGGAGTTTAGCCATCACACGATGGGTATGGAAGGCAGCTAGCTACGTGTGGACTTGAATGAGAGGGGTTGGGATGAAGGCAAATATTGTTTTCATGTCAATCATTGTCAAAAGTCTCAGGTTTTAAAACAAATACTGTAATTCACAATGATACAAATCTGTTAGACCAGGACCATCGTGGGGGCACTGGCACTGGCATCCGGTGAGGGGGCGGCACGGGAAATAGACACTGGTCGATAAAACACAAAGTAAGGATGCTTGAAGTTTTGAACGCTCTAGAATCATGGGAGATGGTTTAGGGGGCTATATCATTTACCGTTCACCTTTTCTTTCTCCTTCCTTTCTTTTCTCTCCCTTTCTCTCTCTTTTTTTTTTTTGTTGGGGGGGGGGGGAGGGCGGATGATGGAAATGCATGCGGCCCCATGCACCACGTGTATAACTACGTCACTGTTGAACAAATCTTGTATCTAGACAACAAAAGGATAGTAAATGACCCGTTGTAGGGTAATTAAACCTGTTACCAATTACGGTTTTGTCTTGTGGTATCCAAGCTGGGTTCATTTAGATGTCATTATACTGATTTGGAATAGACTGGCTATTTTAAGGAATCTGTCGTAATTTTGATGAGAAAATTCAGATGCATTTTTAAGTCATGTTGACACCTTATAGATATAAGCTATATAAACGAGGTTTGTCGCATGTGTTCTGAGAAGTGTAAAACATGATACTATTTGGAACATATTTGGCAATGTTGGGAAAACGGCAAAAAACAAAATCCCACAAATCTATCTAAAAGACAAACATTTTCTGTAAAATAGAAGATGCATATTTCTCTGCTAAGTAAATATGTAAAGCAGAAACAGTCATAATGAGGCTCAGCCAGTAATATCATGAAGTTGAAAATAAATAGCTACGACAAAGGAGCACAGGTGTTTGTATGTCTTCTTCCAGAATTGTGGAAAACTAATTTACCAATCTCAATGAATATCACTGGCAAATTTAATATTGATAAGATAAATTAATGTTTGTACACTGGTTAAAGATCTCGATTAACTCCTTGGCTCACTTTCCAAATTTTGTACTATTTTAATCATCTTTAATATAGAAGAAGAATAAATCAGGAAAACAACACGTGCAGATCAATACTGTATGATATGAGAGAAGTTATGAGCTATGACTGGTATAGATAGAAAAGGAATTGATTAATGTACGTGACTTGCGACTTTGACTGAAATTATTGATACCTTGCCTGTGCTTTATCTTTTAAGACGTTTGCGTGCATAGAGAATGAGCAGGTGCGAAGGAAGTATGGTGTTCCACTGGAACTCAAAACCCATCCGCCCTCTCTACCTCTCTCTCTCTCACTTTATCTGCATAACACTCGAACACGCACATTCTACTCCCCCCCCCCCCCCACATCCTCTCTCTCTCTCTCTCTCTCTCTCTCTTTCTCACTCTCCTTCTTCATCTTCACCCTCTTTGCTTCACCCTCTTTGCCACACGCATTCCTTTTTAATCCTTTTATATTCTGTCTCTCCGGTGTTTCTCTGTCTTTCTCTGTCTCTCTCTATCTCCCCCCCCCCCCCCCCTCTCTCTCTCTCTCTCTCTCTCTCTCCCTCTCCCTCTCTCTGCCTTGATGAGGGTAACGCACTCTGATGCTTCTCCATCTCGTTAAGATGTTCACCTTAATTTTGATTCACATAGCGGGCCAAATAGCTTTCATGTCGATTGAGATATCAAAGTATTTTACCAACATCTCTTTTCCCCCATCAACTGCTTTCGTCACGAGAAGGATATTAAACCGTTTCCTAGCAATATAGGGTCAATCAATATTGTATCTAGATGTGTATACCTTGATTGTATGAGCTGGCTAAACCACAATAGTTTCCCTGATAAATTCGATTCGACGTAGATGTTTCGAGTGTAAATTTGTTAGATATTACAAGTCGAAAAAGTA